TGTACAATCTTCCACTAGCACTCTGGGTCTCAGTCTCACTGACCTCCTCCAATTTCTGCTCCTGCAGATTCCCTTCCTCCTAAGCCCTTTTCTTCCATTTCTAGAACAATAAAATACATTCTGATTAACTCCATCGAGAATTCTTTCCATGCCTCTATCCCTGTCAGTTCTTGTCATGTGTTCTCAGCTCTACTTCAAAGAAAAAAATCACAAGCGGAGTTTCATCTTTCTGATTTTTCTGTTCACCACCTTAACTCACTCTCAGTCAAGTTCTGTTCTCTTCCCACCGATTTTTATTTCTTTGCTAATGCTATCACTGGTGTACTAAAAAACACGATCACTTTCACATCTTCCTTCTTCAACTTTTGAGCAACACAGAGAGGATGAGTGTCTTCCTCTGAAACTGTTTCTTCTCTTGGTTTCTAGACACAATACACTCCTGGTTTGTCACTTTTCTTCTCCACTTTCTTGCCTTTTTAGATTCCTTTCTCTTTCTCAATGTGGAAGTTCTCCATGGTACTAATACAGACTCCCCTTTTCTTCACTCAATATTTTTTTTCTTCCCTCAATATTTATCTCTTTCTGAGTAATTTCATCCAAGGTTTAAATGCCATCTGCATGGCTCTCGAAACGCAAAGACCTATTTACTTGCATAAATCAGAGACTTGTATATCTAATTGACTACCTCTCTTTTCAATCAAAAATATAATTCGGATTCATCTCTCAATAATCCATTCTGCCCTCATTTTTTCTATCCAAACAACATCACTATTCATACAATTGATCAAATCGAACTATTAAATATAAACATTGTTTTCTCCTTTGCCATGCTGTTTCAACACATAGATTCTACAGACTTTATAGATACAGTAAATTCTACATATGTGTACTTGCTTTGGTATCCTCTATGCTTGTATCTCAACTCAAGTCATCGTAATCCATGCTGCTCAACAATACCTTCCTCAAAGTTCTTTTTGCACTATCTCTTTCCTGCCATAATGTTTTCTCCCCAGTGTACAGACTGACCTCCATAAATATAAAATAGCTCACATGGCTTTTCCACACAGGTGCAAACGATCTTGTTTCTGCCTACCTCTCAGCCCACATCTGAAACTGCCCTCTTGTGCTCACTGTAACTTCACTGTATTGACATCTGTGGTGTCCTTCACACATTCCAAAATGATTCCAGTGTTAGAGCCAGTTGTCAGTTCTCAGAGCTTGTGATGTTCTTTTGTCAAAACTGCATGTTTTACTAGTCCACATCATTTAATCTTTCCTTGAATGCTACCTTGTCAAAGAAGTTACCATTCTAATTAGCATGCACCCAATGAGAAGACAGTGCCATGTATCTTGTCTTATTTTCTTTATTGTATTTATCATTATACAAAACTGCCTTTTTATGCCTTAGTTTACTTCATTACTGTCTGATTCCACCCTCCACAATGTAAGCTTAAAAGTACAGACTTATTGCTATGTGTGTATCACAGCTGCTTCTCCATAAAATCTAATGACACCTATGGCACAATCTCTAAAACAACCATGTGAAAGAGGATGTGTGAGTGTGGGTGTATATCTTCACTAAAAACCAGAGGAAAATGCTAAGTTCCTAATTTACAAGAATTAACCTTTTTTTTTCAGAACCAGGGATCAAACTCAGGACCTTGCACTTGCCAGGAAGGCGCTGGTGCCACTGAGCTAAACCTCCGGCCCAGGAATTAAGATTTTTTAAAACGGTGATTTTCCCCCTCTAAATGACTTATAAATTCAATGTAAGAGCCACCAATATTCCCATGGCATTTTCAAAACTGGATTTTCACATGCTAAAAAGTAGAAAGAATATGAATAATCCAAAAATATTGAAATAAAATTTGAAAGTAAAGCTTTAGTAGTCAAAATGCAAAGAAACAAGTGCAGTCATTAACAGTTATGCCAACATCCATGGTGAAGTTGAATATATATCATGGGAGCATTTCAAGTTAATGGGGAAGGAAGGACTGGCCATGATATTAGAAGAAATGGCTAAATACTTAGAAAAAAACTACCATAGTAACTCACAAATATGTATTCTTCTAAAATAAATTCCAGATATTTTATAGATCAAATGATTAGAATCAGGGTTCTGTGACAGGCTTTCTGTGATAGGCTATGCATCCCAGATACATGCTTTTCTTGCTTCCCAGCCCCCTTTTGCATTTATGTGGGGCCGTATGGTTGAGTTGCAATGAATGGAATGTGAGCATTTGTGATCTGTGCACTGTTTAAGCCAAAAACACCTACCAATAAACAAACATTTTAACTCCATCTTCTGGATATTAGCAAGAGGAACCCTTGAAAACCATAAAGACCTGCTCTGCTGTCAATTTGAGTCCACCCACCTGTCATTCTGTCCCACATCTGGGGTTTATGTATGGGAAAAACATGTTTTTCCCTCTAAAAAATTTAGATTAAGGATTTATTGTTTTGAGTTGCAGTAATGGGGAGGAAGTGTGTCAGTAAACTCTGGCACTGAGGCAAGATCCAATCTTCCTTCTTTTATAAATAAGTTTCATTGAAATACATTCAATTTCATATTGTCTGTGACTGCTTTCTCATCATAACAGCAGAGCCAAATAGTTGATGTGGGAAGCGTATAGACCACAAAATTTAAAATATTTATTATCTGACCCTTTACTCAAAAATTTCCTGTTCTCTACATTAGAGAAACGATTGTTACCTTAAGTAAAAGAAAAGTAGAAATAGAAGATATTGTGGGAGAAATTTTTTTATTATATTAGGGGTAGGGGTGCCCCTCTTAAAATATAAAATCCTCCATGCCATTATTCCCTTTCCTGGTGAACTCTTATTAGTTCTTAACTTAAATGCACCTTCTCAAGAATGTATTCTTTACTCTTTTTAAAAGTCTATAACTGTGTGATTCTATTATTCTGTTGAAAAGTTTTAGCCAAGGCCAACAATGAAATAATTGAGAAACTTGTTTGCCTTTTATTTCTACATTAAACTCTGAGACAGAAATCTTTCCTGAAACACCTTTACTGGGGCGCTTCTGAGTCTCAGACTCTTGCTGCTCTACTCTCGGTGGGTTACTCCTCGTCCCCTTTGAATTGTTGGCAGCTCCAGGATTCTGTCTTGGTTCTACCCCACTACTTCCTACCACATGAAGTCTCATCCAGGATTGTGCTACAGAATTACCTTGAGTCCTTAACACAACATAGAGCATATATCTCCTACACCTTCACACCTTCACTGCTCACACAGTCTGTGGTAGGACCACATTTTAATAAATTCACCTAATGATTTGGTTTTCTAGTTAAAACTTTTGGCACACATTCTTGGATGTGTCAAATTCCACTTTTCTTTATTTTCAGGTACTATCTGAATTGATTTTGCTAGCCAATATTTCTTATAATACTCCAACTTTATTCAGTAGTTGAAGAGGTTATTGCTTGTGTAACACCAGTGGCTGGGCACTTTACAGCAGTGGTAATACGGAGGTCAGCAAAGCAGTCATTTGCTTTATAGTCATAAAGTTTGAAATCTAATGGAGAATTTAGATGTAAGCAAATAATTACATACCTCACTTACGTTAATAGTTATCCCATTGCTTAAAAAGAGTGATATACTTTTTAATTGTATTAGGAATCACCAGGGATTATTTTACGTGGAAATAACTGAAGTCAACTGCCCCGCTCATTCTTTATTGAGAAATATTATTTTTGACAAGCAACCTGGCAATCATTATAGTAATATTATACAAAATTTTGCTCTACATTAGAGTCAAATGCCTTGCCAAGGGATAAGACAGTCTTCCAGATCTCCTGTTGCCTTGTATCATTTTCTATCATGGTTCCCATTTGTGTTAGTTAGATTTTCCACTCCTGGGACAAAATATCTGACACTCAAAACTTAAAGATGGAGATTTTTATTTTGGCTCATGGTTTTAGAGGTTTCAATACATGGATAGATGACTCCAAGGCAGAAACATCATGGCAGAAAGACATGGTGGAAGAAAGCGCTTAACCCCCTATGGCATCTGGGAAGCAGAGAGTAGGGAACGATTGCCAAAGAGGAAAGGACCAGATACGCTACAGAAACTCACACTCCCATTGCCCATCAACATACACCAAGAAGTATGTTTTACTAATCTCCGAGGCATCTTTCAAGCCAATCAAGTTGACAATCAAGATTAATCATCACATCTTAAATTCTACAGTCCAATCTTCAACTATTTTTTTCAGAATTAAATGCTGGGCAGATTCTTTAATATTTAATTCAAAGCACTTTTCATTCCAAACCTTTCATCTTATCACCCTTTTATTTTGCTATTTTCCTGACTACATATGTACATTTAGAAAATCTACCACTCACTATTTGTTAAATGTGCTCTTTTGTCAGAAATTATTAAATTTATAATTGATGCCATCTTTGAAATATATTACCATGAAGAATGTATTTTATTTCCATGTTCTTAGCTCCTATGAATGTACCTGAGAATATATAAACACTTGAAAAAATATTTACTAAATGCTTGCAAGAAATAAGTAAATGGATCCATTTATCTGTATACTTTTTCCTATTTGTAAGTTTATTTCTTTATATAGTTCTTTGTTTAATTTTTTGTATACAGATATGTTCCTACTTTTACAAATTTCCTTTTTAGATTGTATGGACTTGAAGAATAGTGACTGTATTTACTCTTATTTTTTTCTTCCTTTCTCTCTCCCTCTCATTTTTTCCCCTTTCTCCATTCCTTTTATTCCTTTCTTTTTTCCACATTTACCAAGATGCTTTCTTTTTTACTCTTTTCAATTTTATTTTGAAATGACAAATAATAATTGTAGTTTTAATAGTCAATTTGTTGAACTTATCTGATAAGAGAAATAGGAAAGCAGAAGGAAGCAAAAATAAGACAGAATGGGATGTAAATAGAAAAAAAAGGCAAGTGTTTCTCTGCACATTTCTGAAGTACTCAGCATAATCAGACATCACCATTGCCCATCAGGCTATGTTGCAGTTACTCTCCTGAGTGCCCCTTTAACATCCTTATTTCTCAGGCTGTAAATGATGGGGTTCAGCATGGGGGTCACTGCTGAGTAGAACACAGATATCATTTTATCCTTTTCATTCATTACTCTGGAGTTTGGCCTCATATAGGCAAATATGGCTGAGCCATAGAAGAGACCAACAATAATGAGATGAGAACCACAGGTAGAGAAGACCTTGAACCTCCCCTCCCCAGACTGCATCCGGATCACAGTGGAGATGATATTCCAGTAGGAGATGAGGATGAGGGAGACAGGAGCCAGGAGGATGACCACGCCCATCGCAAAGATGGCCATTTCTGTTCTGTAAGTGTCTGCTGAAGCCAGCTTCAGGAGGGCAGGAGGTTCACAGAAAAAATGGTTAATGACATTGCTTCCTCGGTAGGGAAGACGCAATGTGAATGTGGTGTCCACCAGGGACACAAAGGCCCCACTGGCCCAGGACCCTACAGCCAGCTGCACACATACCCCACGTGTCATGATGGTGGAGTAGTGCAGCGGCTTACACACGGCCACGTACCTATCATAGGACATCACCGCCAGCAGTGCGCAATCCGTACACCCAACGAGAAGTAAAACAACTACTTGTGTTGAGCATCCAACAAAGGAAATGGTTTTCCTCTTCACCAGGAAGTGGACAAGCACTTGGGGCACAGTGGTGGTAGAAAAACAGAGATCAGCAAAGGACAGGTTTCTAAGGAAATAGTACATGGGTGTGTGGAGCCTGGGGTCTATGTGAATGAGCACGACCATCAGCAGGTTTCCCAGCACGGTGAGCAGGTAGATGGCCAGAAACAGGAAGAAGAGCAGAACTTGTGTCTTTGGATCCTGTGAGAGGCCCAGGAAGACAAATTCTACCACAGAGGTTTGGTTCTCCTCTCCCATGAATGTTTACTTCTGTTCACAGAAAAGCAACAAGAAAACAAATAATATTAATCACCTCTTTCAGAAAGTCTGAGTCAATTAACTATTTTATTAATTAGTATCCAAAATTGTACTTTTGGTTTAATGCTGAGATTTCTTTTTGTACTGCAGTTTTAACAAATCTATTTCTGGTTTTTTCTCTTCTTGAATCTTCTAGTAATACTAGTGGGAAAGAATCGTTGTGAGTATGCTACATGAGCAATCCTTGGTTTTACCCCTTGACGACTTGTAGTACTAAGACTAAAGTGACCCTTACAGTTCACCCTTCCTTTATATAGTTTTGGGAAGCAAATTGATGTATGTTTGAATGACTGAGTCTTTGTAAACCAATGGCACTTATGAAGGCTGCTTTTTTTTTTCATTTTATAACCTAATCCTAAAGGAACATTCTGAGCAAGGAATAGGAAATTAAAGAAGATATCTGTGGTCCCATCCTTTGACCATAGCCCTGTGTCATGTATATTCAATGTGAAAAAGATCTTGATGGGTAACAGTAAAAATGACTACATCTTTGGTAGTTGTACTCAACAATATCCTTTAAGTAATCCTTAATCTGTGCTGTACAGTCTCTTATCTCTTTTCATAGCCTCTTTTGGCAATAATAACATAAACTTCATATATTGAGCACCCTCTTATCATTACTAATAGTGTCTTTACTTTCACTTTTGTTAAATTTTCTTTTAGTCAATATGAGTCTGTTATTTTCCCCAGTAGATGATGAAACAAAGAGGAATTATCAATCTGGTTTTTCTAAGCCCTCATTACTCTGAATCGTGAAATAAAAATACAATTCTGAACTATAATAACAGACTACAAGAAGTAGAAGAATGGGTTTTTGCAAGCCAGGCATGGTGGCACATGCCTATAATCCCAGCACTCAGGAGGCTGAGGCAGAAGGATTGCCATGAGTTTGAGGCCAGCATGGGCTACACGGTGAACTCAAGGATAGCCTGAACTACATAGTGAGACCCTGTCTCAAACAAAACAAAATAAAACAAAAAACCAAACAAATAAAGATTTTTGTGCTTGAAGACAGGTCTCTTGAATCAACTCAGTGAGAGGAAAATAAATAAAAAATAACTTAAAACTGTTGAATAAAAGGCCTAAGGGACAACATTAAGTAAATAAGTATTTGCATAATACTTCAGAAAATGAAAAAATGGAAAAAGACAAAGAAAACATAGTTGAGAAAATAATACCTGGAAACTTTCCAAATATTAAGAGAGATATGCCTATCCAGATCCGTGAAGAGGGATCTGAAAATTCTTATCCAAGGCACATTATAATCAAGATGCCAAAGTAAAGCACAAAGAGAGAATCCTAAAAGCAGCAAGAGAAAATGTCAAGTCATGTATAATGAAATCTCTATTGGATTAACAGCAGATTCCACACAAAACCTGCAGACTAGGGGGGGAAAGGGTGATTTATTTATAATGTTAAATTAAAAACCTCCCAGTCAAGAATACTACACTATACTATACTATACTGTTTTAGCTTTCCATCACTGTGAAGACATTCCTAGATAATCAACTTGCAAAAGGAAAAGATTATTCTGGTTTCAGAAGGTTCAGTCCCTATTGCCTTGGGCACACTACATCACGCTGTGGCGCAGTACATCCATGCAAGAGCATACGGCAGGAGGGAATCTGCTCACTTGATGACAGCTGGAAGCCAAGAGAGGAAGGAAGGGACTGGGGTTCCCTTATTCCCTTTGAGGACATGCTTCCAGTACCCTAGTTTCCTTTCACTAGGCCCTACCTCCTAAAAGTTCCATCACCTCCTAATACTGCCACAGGCTAGAGATCTAGGCTTAAACACATGGGCCTGTGGGGTACATGCAAAATTAAAACTACAGCATCTATCCAGCAAAGCTAACCTTTAGAAGTGAGATATATAGTCTCAAGCAAAATCAAGGAATTCATTGCCATTAGACCAGTCTCTTTTTCTCTTTTAAAATTGTTTGTAGAAAAGTTTAAATTATACCTCACATCCATTTCTTGAACATAGGCCAAAAAGATTTTCTATTTTAAGGTTTTTAGAGCTAATCATCTAAACTAATGGCAGTTATATAAGTAAATAGAAGGAACACCAGGCATATTTTAAATTTTAGTATTCAGCATTTTGAGATATTACCCAAAGGACAATAGAAGGAATTCAAAGAATAATAAAAAACAGTTTCCATATAATTTGACTGCACATATAAAAATTAATTAAAAAGAGCTATTTCAAGCCTTGATAATTGAAGAAAAGTGGTATGGCATTCCTGTATTATTATTATTATTATTACTATTTTTTTGTATT